TACTACTGAGCTCTCAGACCCTGAAATTCGTAGAATAAAAACAATTCGAGCCTGTTCGAAAATTCTTGAAGTTCATCAAGCAAAGAGAGCAAAAACTAATAATTTCGTTCGAACAGTCAAAAATCCAAAAATAGGATTAATATTACAATTTCTAATAAAGATGATTCTGCAATTGATCTACTTGAAATAACTATACATGCTGATACTCTATATAAACAATTTACATAAACAGTTAAAAATGTATATTTCAGAGCTTTAGGTGACCTAGGTTTTGCTACATTGAAGTCATTAGATCGACCATTAACATCGATAATTACTGATGAAGTTGATTATCTTGATGGTAGAGTAAAAAGCGATCCTAAGTTTACCAGCTTCAATAAATTGAGTGTGTACTATTTACATTATAAGTTCGCAGTACTACTCTGTTCCACAAAATCTGTCATGCTGTACTTTTGCAACATTTTTCTAATAATACTCCGATTGAGTGTCTGATTGGCGTTCTGTAAAGCCCAAGATCTCTGCTTTGATTGGGTAGTTTATAGCCTCGTGTGCTTGTGTCAAAGGTTCGCACAAAGATATCGGTTCTCACAGAGACTTCCTTGCACAGCAAAGGTGAAGCAAGGTGAGCTGCGTGAAGTCCAAGCCAAGTTTGCCGCTGATTTTTGGGCCAAGTTTGTTTCTACCGCCCCTGGTGACATAACAATGTAGACGAAACGGCTGTCTATTACATGCCACCGACGAAGACTCTTGCGAAAATCGGTGGATCCTCGAAAGTGGACAAGTCGCAGAAGCACTCCTACAGAATGACGGCAGTACTCTCAATTCGATCGAACGGTACCTTCCTTCATGGTGCTGTCCTGATACCTGGCTAGGCGACAAGCTCCCAATCCTTTTCATTCTGAAGGGAAAGCCAGGTGGGGATATTAAGCGAAAGGAGATTCCGACATATCCACCTGGTCACGTTTATGTTGTCCAAGAGAGCGCTTGGATGGACAAGGAAGTGTGAGAGATCTATGAATGATCTCCTCAAGTTCGAACTGCATGGCCCGTCCGTCTTCCTTGCGGACAATTTGGATTGCCACGTTTCACAAGCCTCTCAAGACCTTATTTCCTCGTAGCTTTTCAGTGTCCTCGAACCTCTCCCAAAGAACTCTACTAGCGTTTGTCAACCGTTAGACATGGGCGTCATGGGACCAATGAAGAGCAAGTTGCGCTCACTGTGGCTTCGAGAAGCTCCTGTTGTGTCAGCTGCTGAGAAGAGGCTGGCCATGATCAAGCGGGCCATTGCTGGCTGGGATGCGATGCCCTGTGAAGTTGCCGGTCGGGCATTCGAAAAGGCATTGCCAAACATTATCTCTTTGTAGAAAATTCCTGTCTGGTCGTCGTCGCCATCGTCGTGGACATCTAGCTGCGAAGTCATTGGTCTCATTTTATCCTATCAGAGCTTCATTACTGTTTGGATTGTCATATTCTTGAATTATATTTGACCTCATTTTTATTGTTCTTCAAAATATGTTCAATACAAATTTGAAGATATTTTTTGCGTACCACGGGGCCACAAATTCCGTCGCTCTCTGTAAAGAACCACGATTTTGATTCGTAAAATCAATTATCAGGATGTCAGCAGCAGTAGCAATATCGTAACCAGATTAGTCGGTTAAATCTTAATTATACTACCATAACTAACTCCGGCGGCAGTTGTAGTGTGTAATTAATAGTTGAGTCATCAGTTAAAGCTATTGCATTAATAGAAGACACCGGGCTAAATTATGGTGCATATAACGAGCTGGAAATAATAGTTGAAGTATTTCCATCAAATACAGATGATTTACCATATCCAATTATTAAATTGAAATCACTTATATCAGTTGTAAATTTCATAGTTCTACGAACTGATGGATATCCTGCATATAAGCTGGTTGTGTATATCCTGCAGGTAGAGATGTAGGAACGACATTTAGAACTAAGCTCATTCCATATAAATTACAATTAGATACAAACTGGATATAGTATAAATTATTCGATGTAGTACTATTAATTCAGTATAGACCATTTGCTATTAAAACGATTTGCAAATACATAGTTAAATCGGCAACCTTTGAATAATTGGTAAAATCTGGAATAACAATGTTAAAGTCAGTATAAGTACTTGTTGGCCAAGATACTTTAAATGTGTTGTTCGAACTAGAAATGTTGGGCCATGAAGTCAGGTTATTCTGGTTCAGATTTATATTCGAGATACTCATGATTCAGTACGGTTTATATTTTATTTGACAAGAAATGCATTTTTAAATTATTTACAGCCTATTAACACCCGAAGGCCGTGAGACTCTGTACCCTATAGCTTAGCTTGAGCTTTCATATTGTCATATTGTCTTTTTCAGTAAAATTTGGACTTCTGAATCCAAATGCTGAATCGACTTGCCTCCAAAAATACTAAAATAAGTATACTATAAAAAATGAATACTATTGATTTTTCGCGCACATCAGCGCACCACCAAGCATGATCCTACAACACGCTCAGCATCAGCATGCGTCCAAGAGCACCATCATGCATGCTCTGTTCGTAGGTATGAAGCGAACGACCATTGCAAGGCTGTTTCACAAGTCCCTGAGCACTATCTCGAACTGGATCGAGCGTTACGAGAGCACATCAAACTACGACCGCAAGAAGACAGCTGTCATTGCTCGTTTCAGCGACGAGCAGAAGCGACAGATTTGTTGAGTTCTACTGCGTCAACCTGATTGCATTTCTCGATGAGTGCAAGAATGCGTTTGAAGTGCACGTAAAAACGTACATCAAAACGTACATCTCGGTATCTACAATCTCTGGCGTGTCAACCATGCCCACGGGTTCACGTGGAAAGTGCTTGAGCGGCGAACCATGCAAGTTCAACAAAAGGATGTTCAGGGTTCTTTGACGAGCTTGCGTCGATAGACTGGTCGAACCACAATGTGCAGTTTCTCGACGAAGTCAGCTTTGACTCCAGGGGCATGCTCCGGAAACGCGGGTATGCCATGAAGGGCCAGAAGTTATGTTTTCGCGGTGAATTTAACCGAAAGCCACGCGTATCGTTGCTGTGTTTCATCGACGTCCATGGTGTGACCGACGTGTTCGGTGCTGTGGGCGCATTCGACCGGCATGCCTTTGTAAAGTAGGCAGATTAGAGCAAACAGTTTCTCTCCATAACCTGGAAATGGTCCGTGTGGATCCTTGACGGTGAAAGCATCCATTGTCACCCTGACAACGTCTATTTTTGCGCTCGATCGGGATCGTGCCGACATTCCTCCCCGCCTACTGCCCGCTTTTCAACCCCATCGAGTACGTATTTGGTCTCGTCAAGATATAGTTCAAGCGAGGCTACAAGGAGAGCACATCGAAGGACAAGCTGCATTTTGTGCTCGGCGTGATGATGCAGTTCCAAAAGTACGACATGTCCAGTTTTTTAGACATTGCGGGTCACAGCTGAAGGACGTTTTGACCATGGAAAGCAGTTTGACATGTCCACGCCATCAAACCTGAACGACAGTCTGCTTGGATTAATTGACTGTGAAGACATCAGAAGTTCGGAAAAAATTTAGCTCAACAACGAATGACTTCAATATTATTTGACATGAATGACTGAACTTTTGCACAATAAATATTCAAATGACTTCATTGACATAAAAATCTTAATCATGATCAACATCGTTTATGTTTGGGATCGTTTCAAGAAGGTCATGATGGCCATTGCCAGGATCTTGAGATTCAGAATCTCGAGTAAATCCATCAATCAACCGCTTCTTCGTATTGAGCATGTCGATAAAGGATTGAACCCTCAAAGAAACCGTTGTTGTTTCATTCTTGGGTCTGTCAAACACGATTTCCCACAACGTCGCGAGCAACAACAAGCTTTGTTGTAAATTTTCTTGTCTTGCTTGTTGCTTGTGCAGCGTTGGCAACCGACTGGAAGAGGTGAATGATTTGCGCTGGCGGAAGTCGCAATACAAGCGACGCATGCTCGTGTGTTGGCCGCAAAAGCACGTGGGAGACCCAATGCGCCAAGTTGCTTCATGTGCACTGTAAATGCAGCTCCATTGAGCCTTCACCGCCGCCACAGTTTCTTCGAAGAGAGCCTCTGCAGCTGCAGCTGCTCTGTCTTGGACTTGTGATGTGATGCATTATTGCTGCAGTTCCCCAAGTCCGCCGCTGAGTTGACCCGGCTTCCATTCTTGAATATGGCTATCGTGAATATGTTGTTGACGTGGTCCGATGGGTACTGGTGCGCTTGGGTTGTGCTGCTGCGCTTGAATTGATTGCGCCTCAATTTGATGGTGATGAATATGTCAAAGTCGTCGAGAGTTGGCTCGTCGGGAGACACAGACCAGACCTCTCATGATTTGTAAATGGCACAATGTTCGGACGTGCAAACACGAAGATCCTTCCTCGATCGCCTCCCAAGACGCTCCCTCGAACTCTTGCGGCTGAAATCGCTTTCCATTGTGGTCTCGACCATAGATGGTCTCCTTGAGGATAACGTCGGCTCGCATTCGGCACAGATCGTG